TTCAGCCTGGATGTGAACATATCTCTGGTCCAGATCATGTGATCCTTAGAGCAGTGAGCTTACTTATAGTGAAATCCTTAGAAATCAGGTTTCAAAATTGTACTTCAGCAAATGAAATAAAAGGTAATTCTCTGAGTTCCTTTTTCATGCAAAGAAATGTATAATTATTTACTTAAGTAAAATAATTCATAATTATCAAATCTCAGGACTAATATAAATTTCAGTAATTTAAGCTATATGTTATCCTTGTTTATAATTTATTAAATTTTCTTCAGAGAGAGAGAACTAGAATTACTTTAAGTAACATGTCAGCTTTTTGTGGCTAAACTGAGTTTGTATGGCATAATAAATGACTTAAGTTAAAAAAAAGTTGCTCTTGAGTCATCTCAAAGTAAGTGATAGAAGTCGATTCATATTCAAATATTTGTAGTATTTTATTCGTATTATCTTTCATAAAATTAGTATACTTACTAGTGTAGATTATCGATAATTAGAAATTGAATTGAAATGTGTGAGATGTTATATTGAGGAAATTGCCGCATGTTAACAATAACATTATAACATTAGTTATAATTCTGTGCAGTTATAAAATACAACAGTAGGTGGCATCTGTTATATAATTCAGTTTTAAATTACAGTTAAAACTCCCCTAAACCTTTCTGATTTTTGTGCTTAATAGTAGTAACTTCCTTTAATGCTTTAAACAAAAAATACATGATTCTGTTATTTTGAAGGCAGAATTATGTTTGTTTGGTTGAATTGTTGCCTCTAGTAACAGTCAGCTGTGGCACCCAGTGAAGTGATCTCTGTTGTCTACTCATTCATACATGCTTTTAGCAAGAAAGCACCTAGCTTTTATTTCTCTGAGATAGTTATTTGGCAGTTGTGGCAAACAGATGATCTGGCTGTATATTTTAAATGTATGCTCTTGGGTGAGTCACTTTTTTTCACTGAGCCACTGTTTCCTCACTTGCAAAATAGAAATACATAATCCTCAACTCATGGGACTTTTTGAAAGTGTGAATTGTGATAATGCATTTTAAATACTTTAGACACTATAAATTTATATATAGACAA